GTCCAGTCCTTTCATCTCACACAGGAGGGAACTCAGAGCCATCAAAGTTCAGTTGAACACAGCCAGTTCAGAAAAGAATTGAACTCAAGGCCTCCTGACCCCAAAGTCTTTGAGATAGTGAGGACCTATTGTAGATTAATTCAGGGACATCAATCTTAGAACTTGTTTTTAATGTGTGGATTTTGTTTCTTACAGAGCATTTGGCTCATAGATAGTTTTCAGACATGAATCTGTCTATGAAATTCATAAACATGTGTCCCCACACGTTCTCATACATGCTTTGGCCAATGTTTATCAGGAATGCAAAAGAAATCTACATTGGCTTGCCTCTAATCACAACTTTTGCCCAAGGTTAGTAACGATATATCTGAGAATTGATGGAAAAAATGTAGAGTAATCTGAAAGAAAGAATAAAATCAAAATAAATGTCTTTTTTTTTTTTTTTTTGGTTTTTCGAGACAGGGTTTCTTTGTGGTTTTGGAGCCTGTCCTGGAACTAGCTCTTGTAGACCAGGCTGGTCTCGAACTCACAGAGATCCACCTGCCTCTGCCTCTGCCTCCCGAGTACTGGGATTAAAGGCGTGCGCCACCACCGCCCGGCTCCAAAATAAATGTCTTAAACTGTAATTAATAAATTCTTCTGAACACTAAGTCTAACGAAGTATTTTAGAGAGTATATTAACTAGATTACCACACAGTAGCAAAATGTTGTTCAGAGGGAAGTAACTCGGCTGATGGTAGTGGACTGAGAATCCTCTCAGCACATCCATGGCTACATGGAATCTCATAACATGATTTTACTTAGAGGAAAGATTTTCATGAGCTTAAGGTCAAGTCTGAGATGACATTATACTAATTTGGGGGGGGGCGTGAAACCCTTAAAGAGTCAGAGAATATGGATGAGGAGATGGTTCAGTTGGCATAACGCCTACCTTGCGAGCATGAGGACCTGGGCTCAGGAAAAGGTAGGTGTGCTTGTGGATGTCTAGAATCTTGGCACTGGGGGTGGGTTGGGGGCAGAAGCAGGCAGATTTTCTGCTGTCTGAGCCTGCTGGTCTGTAAGCCAGCCTGCTGGTGAGTGCTGGGTTCAACAGGAGACTATCTCAAAAGGTAACAAAAAAAAGACATAATGGAAGACCCTGCCTTCTATCTCTGGTCTGCATACGTGTGTGGATACATGTACATGTATACATGCAGACACTTGTACACACTACTGTATCATTCACAAAAAGACAGAAAGAAAACACATGACATGAATATAGCAACCGAGGTTAGAGTCATGTTCACAAACTCATGGAGGCCAAGAATAGGGGGAAGGCAGAGAATAACTTCTCTTCCTGCACCCTCAGAAGGACATACATCTCCACCTCATTGGCTTAGGGCTTCTGATGGTGTGTGTTTGTGTTGTTGTTGTTGTTGGTGGTGGTGGTGTATGTGTGGTGGTGTGTGTGAGTGTGCGTGTGAGTTGCTAGGGATTGAACCCTGTCCTCATATATATTAGGCAAGTGTTCTATCACTAAGCTATATACCTTTAGGCTTTGATTTTTTTGAGACGGGATTTTAAAGAACATTTTTTTTTTAACACACTGAGTCTTTGTGATTTGGTTCAGGCAATTCTCCAACTCAACATTGGCCTCAAAATACCATCTCTCTTCCTTAGCTCTTGTAGTGTTGGGTAGCGTTGAAGAACACTGGCTTAAAACTGGACAACTGAAAACCCAAAGTGATTTTGTCTCTCTGAACTATAGTTGGCACATTTATAATGTACTGTTTATAATGGTGGGGTCTTACAAAGCTGTTAGCGTTAAATAAGTGGTAAAACAAAACAAAACATAACAAAAAAAACCTATTTTCTTCATCTTGTTTGTTTGTTTCAAAAGAAAACTTGGAGATTTGTGGGATTGTCAAAGTAGTTTCATTTTCTTTTTTCTTTTCTTTTTTTTCTTTGGTTGTTTGAGACAGGGTTTTTCTGTGTAACAGTGCTTACTTTCCTGGGACTTGCTCTGTAGACCAGGCTGGCCTCAAACTCTGCCTGCCTCTGTCTCCCGAGTGCTGGGATTACAGGCGTGCGCCACCACCGCCTGGTTATCAAAAATATTTTCAATAAATGAGAAGATGAGGATCTAGAGACACAAAGTCCATATTAATAGATGGACAACAGTTGGTTTTTATTGTCACACGAGGCAGATGAATCTGTCTAGTTTGGGAGGTAGAATATGAGCAAAATTAGACTGACTTACAGCTTCCCCAAACAAAGGTCAGATCACAGCAGTATCATTTAATTGATGATCATTTCTCAGCGTGAGGAGACTTAAATCTTCAATGTATTTAAGGTCAGGCTGGGGAGCTGGCTCGGTGGATAAAGTGCTTGCTGGCAAGTATGAGAGTCCACATTCATCCCACACATAAAAGCCAGGCAGCTGCGGTGGCCATCTCTAACTCCAGCACTTGAGAGGCAGGGACAGGGGATCCCCATAGTAAGCTGGGTAGCTAGACTTAGCTGGAATTTGAGAGGACTAGGTTCAGCAACAGATCCTGCTTCAAGAAATAAAGAGGAACTCAAAAGGGGAAGACACTGGACCTCAGCTTGCATGTGCACACACAGATACACACGCATACACACACAGGCACACACGCATGTATTTACACACACGTGCACACATTCACACCTTTCTCTCTTCCCACTGCAAAACTCAATGAACTTCCCCGCTGCACAGATAGATAAAGCATCAGGCGATCTTCAGATTCAAAAGATCCAACCTCGGCTGAGATGCTTGCCTGACTACAGCCTGTGCTGTCCTGATTCTGTGTGAGAACTTTTAGAACAATCTATTGCCTTCTTTGTTGGCTCTGTTTGTTCAGATTTTGGGTTGCATGGCTGGATCTCCACACTGATTCTACGCTGTTCCCCACCTGACCCTTCAGCAGACTTTCACCAGACCCTCAGGGACTTGGAGTAGTTCAACTGTTCTTATCTTCTGGGGGAGGTGACCAGGAAGTGAAATGGGAAGATTGTTCTAGAAAATTCTTCTCAGACAGCATCAGCACAGCACAGGCAGTAGCCAGGCAAGCATCTCAAGAGACTTTGAACCTTTGGAATCTGAAGATCACCTGTTGCTTTATCTATCTGTGCAGTGGGGGAGTTCATGGAGTTTTGAGATGGGGAGACAGTAATGTGTGTGCATCTCTCTCTCTCTCTCTCTCTCTCTCTCTCTCTCTCTCTCTCTCTCTCTGTGTGTGTGTGTGTGTGTGTGTGTGTGTGTGTGCATGTGTATCTGTGTGTGGTTGAGGTCCAATGTCTTCCCCAGTTCATCTTGGCTCACTTATCCTACAGAAATTTCCTTTGAAATATTTAAATTTTTGAAACTTAAAAATGAAAACCTTTACATTTAAAACTTTAAAAAATTCAATGTTTATGGCTAGAGTCTACTAATGAGTGAATACATTCCATATTCGTCTTTTTGAGTCTGGGCTATCTCACTCAGAATAGTGTTTTTTATTTCCATACATTTGCATGCAAATTTCAAGATGTCATTTTTTTTTAACCACTGAGTAGTACTCTAATATGTATATGTTCCATACTTTCTTTCTTTATTCTTCCATTGAGGAGAATCAAGATGAATATGGTATGTACTTACTCATTAGTGGACTCTAGCCATAAACAAAGGACAATGAGCCTATAGTCTGCGATCCTAGAGAAGCTAAATAATAAGGTGAACCCAAAGAAAAACATATATAGATCCTCCTGGAAATTGGAAGCAGACAACATCACCAGGAAAAAGTTGGGAGCATGGGGGTAAAGATGAAGGTAGGGTATGGGGAGGGGAAGAGGGGAGAGAGAAGGGAGAAGAGGAGGATTGGGGAGAGCTTGGGGGAGTTGGATGCTTGAGATAGAGGAAGGGCAGATATGGGATCAGGGAAGAAGATATCTTAATTAAGAGAGCCATTTTAGGGTTGGAAAGAGACTCGGTTCTAGAGGGGATCCCAGGTGTCCACGGGGATGTCCCCAGCTAGGTCCTTGGGCAGTAGAGGAGAGGATGCCTGAACTGGCCTTGTCATGTAGTCAGACTGATGACTATCTCCATAGAACCTTTGTCCAATGATGGATGGAGATAGAGACAAAGACCCACATTGGAGCACTGGACTGAGTTGTCAAGGTCCAGTTGAAGAGCAGAAGGAGGGAGAAGATGAGCAAGGAAGTCAGGACTGCGAGGGGTTGGTCCACCCACTGAGACAGTGTGCCTGATCTAATGGGAGCTCACCAAGCCAGCTGGACTGGAACTGAATGAGGATGTGATAAAACCAGACTCTCTGAATGTGGCTGACAATGGGGGCTGGCTGAGGAGCCAATGATAATGGCTCTGGGGCTTGTTTCTACTGCATGTACTGGCTTTTTGGGATCCTAGTCTGTTTGGATGAACACCTTCCTAGGCCTGGATAGAGGGGAGAGGGCCTTGGACTTCCCACAGGGCAGGGTAATTTGATTTCTCTTAGGACTAGAGGGGGAGGGAGGAGGGGGGTAGGAGAACAGGAGGGAAATGGGAGGAAGTGGAACTTTTGAATGGTATTATTTATAAAGCAATAAAAATTTTAAAAAATCAAAACAGAAAATGAAAAACCAGGGCTGGGGAGATGCCTCAGTTAATAACCTGCTTTCTGTATAAGCATGAGGAACTGAGTCTGGATCCCCAGGACCCTTGTAAAAAAACCATATATAACAGTGCATGTCTGCCTTGCTGATGTTCACAGAGGTAAAGGAGTGTGGGGAGAGGTGACAGCCGGCTTAGGTGTGTTGGTGAGCTCCAGGTTCAGTGACAGACTGACTCAGAAACAAAGGTGGAGGAGGATGGAAGAAGACACTCAACTTTGACCTCTGGCCACTAGCATGTGGCCAATACACAATAATAACACACACACATGCACATGTGCAAATGAAAAATTCTTGCAGAGGGGTTAATGCTGATCTCTCAGAAAGAGGTTCTAGGTGAGCGACATGGTTACCTGGAGGAACGTGTGGGCCCACAGTCTCGACCTGACTTTCAGGACTGCACTCTCTCCTCCTCCCAGTCGTCCCACTGCACAAGAGATTTGCAAGCACTCAATGTTTGTACAGTTCTGCAAAATGCAAAGACAGAGACGGACTATCAGTGCCTCGAATGGTAGCGGAGAATCAACACTGACGCGGCTTTCTTTCCTCAGAAGACACTGGCTTGCCTGCAAATCTAATGTATTCCATTTAATTTAGAGATAGGACAAATTCATTAAAGCAACTGAGACAAAGAACAGTTAGCAATGTTGCGAAGTTGTTTCCTGGTCAGAGAAAGGTAAAAGTGGATCATAAAATCCCATTAGAAACAAGCTTCTCTCTAAGGGCTCCATCTCCTGTGACAACCAGTGAGTTTTGTTTCATTTTCTCGGAACTCGGGAAGATGTTTCTTAGAGATGAAAGATAAACTGGGAAAACCTGGAAGCCTTTGTAGAGAAAGGCTTTGAGTCCCTGTCACCTCAAAGATTCAAAGTTAATGACTCATTGATAAGCAATTGCTTTACAACATTCTCTCCTCTGTCCAAACCACTTCCTGATCGCTGAGCAGGCGCTTGTACAGGTCCTATGCATTACACTGTTGTTAAACCAGCTATTTACCCATATTATACGGGATCCCCTTTTAAATACGAGATACACAGTGTGGAAAAAAGGTTCCGGATGAGGACATTCTACCTATCAAATGTATCTTCATTGGATCCCAGTTTCCATAGGCTCATTTGTTTGAACACTTGCTATCCAGCAGGTGGCGCTGTCTGGGGAGGCTGTGGAGTCTAGCAGGAAGGACCTGGTTGGGAGAAGGTCACTCACTGATGGTGTACTTTTAAGCTTATACCTGCTTCTGGTTCTAACCTGCACTGTCTACTAACTGACTGGTTATGTATGTGGTCTTGCTTCTATGAACCCCCAAGGCCCAGACAGAACTTCTGGTACTATGCCTTTCCTAGGACAAACAGAAACCTCTCAGAAACTGCGCTCAAATAAACCTTCCCCCTTTCACTTGCTTTGTAAGGTGCTTTGATCACAGTGATGGCAAAGATGACTAATAACTGAGTGTGGGAATACATGGATACCGCAATGTTTTTCATGTGCCCTTGCAGACTGATGCTTCCTTAATTGGACTGGAGATATGATCAAAGAAGTAGCCCTGAAAGAGTGGAGGCTATTACAGAGGAGAGCAGGAGGTTGGAGATGGAATCTGCAGGTACTGAGTGGGAAGAAGAGTGGTCCATAAAAATCCTCAGGAGGGGTCAGCGAGGATAGGAAGACAGCCGGGAGAGGACATATAGGGAGAGGCAAGGAAAGGGCTATAGTTGTTTCACCAGCTGGTCAATAGCATCAAATGCAGAAATGAAAAGAAGAAAGACACGGGTGTTGTAAGTTGAGTCTGTAAAGAGAACAGAGAAAAGTTTGGAGAGGGAGGTAATCCTGGCCGAAGCAAGGGGCGACTGAGATGAGGGAGGCGAGGATGGCTGTAGGTGGGAGAAGAATTAAGTTTCCGTGTTGGAGATGCAAATTTTAAAAAATGCAAACTGGAAACTGTGATGCCAGCACAGGACATTGGCATGCTACACTTACAAATTCCTAATCAGGAATGGGATTCCGTACTTGGTTTTAACCAAACAAAAACTGTAGGAGGTCTTCTTTAGCTTTTGATTTTAGAGTAAACTTTGCATAATCATCCTCCCCTCGGAGTTGTCTTGATTCAAGGACATGGGTGGGTATTGCATGGCTTGTAGCATTTGAGCCAATTAGAGAAAAAGAGAATGTAATGGGAGTTTGAAATCAGATGCAGAGACTAATGACTGTCTTGGCAACCATTTGCAAGTAAAAGGCTCCTATGATATTTAGACGTTGAAATTTATGTTAAAATATTTAATGAGAAATAGCAGAAGAAATTGGACCTACAGCACAAGTGCATAAAATTTCAAGAGAATACCATTTACCTAGCTCCACTGCTCTTCTGCTCAAGATTCATGTGCAAAGTAGCATGTATAAGAGGAATCTGAATCCTGTTTTTGCAAATGTTTAGTTCTGCAGAAGTTGGGATATTGGTTTTTCAATGGGCTCTTCTCATTTTTACTGTACATAATAGGATTCTATAGATGTCAACTTTTATTGACAACATACAGTTTTATTTTTCTAAAATAAATTTATTCTAAAAAGGACAGTATGAATCACCTACTCTAACATTTTGAAGCCATTGTACAATCTTACAAATGTACAGGCCCTTGACTCATAATCTGCTGATTATTATAGCTTTATCTCTTCTTAAGAATGATATTGGAGATAAATTCCCTTGTATTTTTCATTTCCATGTTTTAATTTTCCTGTTAAGAAGAAACAAGTGGATGGAAATTAGGAATTAAGACACAATTGTGTGTGTTCCTATGTGTGCTGCTGCTGTGTGTGTACAAGCACACATACACATGTGTGCATATGCTTGTGCAGGCCAGAGGTCACCTCGGGTATTATTCCTCAGGCACTGCCCACCTTCTATGCTGAGACAGTGTCTTTCACTGTCCTGAAACTTGTCAAAGATGCTATACTGGCCAGTGAACCCTGGGCATCCAGCCTGTCTGTCTGCTCAGTACTGGGATCAAATGCACACCACCACACTCAACTATTTTACGTGGGTTCTATGGAACAAACAAACAGGTACTTAGGTTGGCCAGGAATCCATTTTCAGAATGAGCCATCTCCCCAGCCCTAAGATACAGTTATGAACGCCTCTTTCGTCATTTTAGGAGCCCAGGCCAGTTGTGCAATCACTGCCTCTGGACTTACCACCTCAAATTGGAACTCTACTTCCTTAAGCCTTTGCCTCATTAATACATAACCAGAATTAGTATCTGTGTCACCCAATCATCCTGTTATGAAGCTCTTGACTACTACTATGGATATGTTCTGGAATATTAGTGCTGTCATTGGGAATGACATTGTTCTACTTTATTGGACTGAAATAAGTAGTTAGGATTATCAGGCTTTTATATATATTTTCTTCTGCCTTAAAATTTACAGTCAATTCATGTAGTGGCATTTCATTTGTATCTTAATAAATAAAGCTTGCCTGAAGATCAGAAAAGTAAAACAGCCAGACTGGCCAGTCTTATAGACCAGGCATCAATGACACACACCTTTAATTCCAGTAGCCACAATGACACACACTACCACCATTATGTGTGCCCCAGCACGTGGGGCCAAGGGACCGTATGATGAAATAAATCACTGACTGTGAGCTAAAATGAAACCTCCACTAAGTCGCTGTGTCTTGTATTTGTCACGGCAGAGAGAAAAGCCACATTTGCCATTGCTTCCCTTTCAACTACGCAAATGCTAAACTCAGAGGTTCAGGACCTTGGATATCCTTGCTCCTTGAATTATGTCACTTTTATGACTGTCTGGGACAGTGGGGCTCACTGAAATATTGCCAGAATGGGCATTGTATTTTGAATTCAGTGAGGGTGGTAGCTGGTGAATTTGATCAGCGCTAAGTAAGCTATCTTTTAATATGTGCAGTGGATTTTTTTTATAGTTGGATAGAGAGTTAAGAGGTCTAAGGGCCATAGAGGAGGAACGGGAGTTAGTGGACTGGCATTCTAAGGGCATTTGAAATATAACTCCAAAAGGTAGCGCCATTAGTTCAGTGAATTCATACCTGAGTCATTTGTTGACAGGGTCACTGAGCCCATAAGCCATAAGCCAGGGAAGCAGTGCACGGAACACGGTGCATATTCTCACCTGAGGGATTTTAGATAGGGTAAGCTGGAAAAGAAGCAGGCCTGAGAGTCGGAGCACCGTAGTGCCCAGAGGAGTCTCAGAGTTGCTCTGCGTTTCTGAGAGAGGGCCAACAGCGTGGGCTTGGGAGTTTTCCAGCTCCCCACCTAGCCAGGGCAATGACCGCTGCTCCCGTGGGAACAGCTGTAGAGCTGCCCTCGGCTCAGAGTTCTAGCTTTCTCATCCTTCAACCATCCTTTACTTGGTCCTGAAGCTTCCTGATGAAGGCCCCTCTCTTTTCTGTTTGTGACTTTGGATTGGTAACTTGAGGCTGTACCTTCGATTTAGATAATGAGTATCAGGAAGGGCTTCTTCAGTGCAAGTATGGAGCAAGAAGCATCTTTCCGGGCAGCCTTTGCTCTATGTGAGGCACAGTGTTCTCAGCCTGTTCCTACCCCCAGTCCCCGGGGATGCTTGGAAAGACGTCTGGCGGTCTCTGACTTCTGATAGAATTTGAGGCTGTACCTATAACTGAGTCCTTAAGGCTGTAGTCTATGAAATGCTGATGGATTGGAAGTTGATGCTTGCTTTGTGCCTTTGCTACATGGTCAGGAAAGGGTGAGCATGTGAGGAGAGACAGAGGAGATAAGATCCTGATCAGCATTGGGATGAGTAAGGGCCTTGCATAAGAATACCAATTCATGCTGATGGTTCTGCAAAGTCCAGCCAAGATCAGGCTAGATCCTCCAGAGGCCCGCAGTGCCAAGACCCCCATATTTCAGCCCAGAAAACCTGAACACATTAGTTTTTCTATAAGGTTTTATTTTATTCTAACGAATACACAGTAATACAATGGAACAGAGTTCCTAATAAATACGCTGCTGTTTTTTTCTCCACACCCTTTTGCTGTCCATGCTTTCCTAAAGCTGATGTGTACTCACTGCGCATGCTAATGATTGTCCTGTGACTTTTTGTACATGCAGATATCACACTTAGCTCTCAGCTGTCTATCAGCTACCCTCTCTTACTCTCCTCCCCATCCTCTCCCTTATTTCATCACCCTTTTCCAGGAGTCTCTCTATTACTTTAATTCCCAGACTTTTGATTGGCCCTCATGTAGCCTAGGCTGGCCTTGGGCTTGCTGTGTAGACAAAGATGATCTGCTCCTGATCTCTCTGCCTCTACCTCCCAAGTGCTGGGTCATAGCCATGTATCATCCAAGTCCCTGGGTGTGTTTGCTGCCTTGTTAAGATGATCATCGGATTTCTGATGATCTTTTATTTTTATATTCTGCATTCCAGATATTGAAAAGCTATGTGATTCTTATTTTCTGTATGACTTATTTTACTTAATGTGATGTCCTTTAGCTCCATTAATTTTCCCGCAGATGGCTCGTTTTCTTTCTTCCTCAAGGTGTTTCAGCGCTCCATTGCCCATGCCTGTCTCATTTCTTCCATCTGTTCATGCGTTGACAGCACCTAGGCTGAATCGTGCTCCTTGGTTCTTGTACGTTCTGCCTCCGTACACATGGAGGTGTGCACGAATCACAAGCCGACTTGGTTTCCCTGAGCACACGGTGCTTACCTCTTTCAGACAAGCCACGCCCCGTAAGATTCAAGGAGAGGTGTGACACCGTAGGGACGTACTGGGTCAATGGGGCTCTCAGCGCTCATCTCAACTGTGCCGCTCAGGGCCTCTGAGTGGGCTAATAACTGAAACTTGATGTTTGTAAATTGATTTTCATAGTTAACCTCCAAAGAGTGGGATTCAGTACGCCATTGTCTTATATGGATATTACGGTTCCTGCCCTTCCTCCTGTCCTATTCTTTTTGTTCTCGGAATAGATTCACAGTCACACTTAATGTTCACCTCTGTTTCTCTGAAGTGGTCGTTGTGGTGGATTTAGAAGAATATAAAGGTTATATTGCAAACACTCCTTAATCTTTACAAAAGAATCACTTTCATTTTTCACAATACAAGCTGCCCAAAGGCGTCGGGCGTGTCTGAGCATTGAAGAAAACTGAAAACAAGAGTTAAAGTTAAAACCACCTGTGTCTGGGAATTCTGTCTAATCCAATATTTTCGCTCAGTGCTGTGCACAGGGCGACTCACCAGTATTTTTGCAGGGCTCTGTCTGTGGAGCTGGACCACTGGCACATCCCTCTTCCTGACAAGATGAGGAATTGTAGCGTTTCTCAAGAAGGCGCTGAGCTCAGGGGTGTCCTCTGGGGAGGCAGCCGGCTGCAGAGAGAAAGCAGGCATCAACACACATAGCTGCATTCACAGATTCTACCATTTTCCTTCACCTCAAAGCCCGGGCAATCGGATTCACAAAGATTGTGCTTTACACAATCAACACCAAAATGACTCATGATGACCACGAATAAGACTGTCCTCTCTTTGGTTACAAGAATCCATGAAGCGCTGGAGAACACATTTTTGAGAAATTTATCTTGCAAGGATAAATTTGAAGAAGAAATAATTTCCCCAGAAGGGCAGAAACCAAGAAGTTGACTGACGCTCCAGTTACCCTCACTGTTTTCCTCTCGTGAGGGAGGGGCCTGGATAAACGGAGGCAAGTTCTGTGTGGAAAGATAAACCCTCAGGCGTCTACAAAGGGTTGGAGATAGCCTGATGTGGTCCACAGCCTACTGTCTTTATGGCTGCATCCCTGTTCCCTTGCTCATGAGAAGCACCCCTGAGAGGAGACCTGTGTCCTAGGGACAATGGCTTTCCCAATGCAAAGGGTTGGAGATAGCCTGATGTGGTCCACAGCCTACTGTCTTTATGGCTGCATCCCTGTTCCCTTGCTCATGAGAAGCGCCCCTGAGAGGAGACCTGTGTCCTAGGGACAATGGCTTTCCCAATGCACGCACTGCTGTATGACAGCCTGCTTTCCAGTCTTCGCTTTTGTTCTAGAACAGGTGATTTTTATCTCAGTGTTCCTGCTGAGCACAACTTCTGGCTGAAAACACACTTTGGGATTTCAAATTGTGTGTGAACCCCGCCCCCCCCAATATCCTAGTGACGTCATTTGCTTGCGGATCCGCCTAACTTGTGGCTCACAGGACAAAAGCATCAGGGGAAAACTATGAATGAGGTGCAATACAAAGTAGTGAACGAACTACTTTGTGTTAATAAATTAATAATCTAATCATAAACATGAGATTGTTCATTATTACTATTTTGTTTGTTCAGTTCTCAAGTATAAACTTTGTGGAAACTCAGTGCTGTGTTGCAGTGACAAAGTTCAGATTCCCTGTGACCAACTGAGTGCAGAAACCTGCCTCCCACTTCCACCCTGAGGCTTGAGCCTTCCTTTGCTTGATTTGTTTACACATAATGGGAGCAGCATTATTACACTCATGTCCGGGGTGAAGAAAGAAATCCCGGCATCGCAGATGTGAAATGTACCACAGAAGGCAAAACAATCGTGATCAGTGTTTCCAAAGGCCTGAAAGAATCTACCAGATGGACAAAGGGATGGAACCCAGACACTTCGGGGTGACAAGGGTCATGCCATGCTGGATCTTGCTCTTGTTGGCTTCCCCAGATCCATCACGCCAAGAGGCCTTTGACTCCCACTCCACGGCAGCCTCTCTGGTTTCCCTTCCTGAGCTATCACAAAGCTCTGGGCTTCCATTTCATGTGGCGCTTGATCTCTGTGGTCTGTGAGTAACTATCAGGCCCATCCACACTTGCCACCGACTGGTCTCAGTGAGGAAATATAAAGTAAGATATAGAGAGTCACATGGCCTTTCCCAGGAAACACCAGAAAACAAGCAGAGAAGAGATCTAATAAGGAAAACTTGGGGAGGTTGGGGTGGGGAGGAAGCCCATTAGGAATCAAAGGCAAATTTTCAAAAACAAAGGACTCTCGGTGTCACCCAGATCTTGCAGAGGAGGGAAACCTGGTGAGGGACCTAAGTATTGACTGGATATGTCCCTTGTGGACTTGTGCTCCTTTCCTGAGTGGGAGATTCTGTGGGTGAAAATTGAATCATGATCACTTAAGAGGGTTTGGATAAGTAACGATTGTTTAGAAGAGCACCAAATGAAGTCCCATGGTCATTCTCATGTTAAAGCAGCCTCTTTCCATGTCAAAGTCGGTATAGACCATTTCAGGTAGCCAGGGCTGTATTGTGAAGTCCTGCCCCCTACCCACCCCACACACACCCAAATAAAGCGACCAAGTAATCAAACAAAAACTAGTTTTTAGTGGGTTAGAGTTGGGATGAACCTTTCCTAAGTGGGTAGGCAAAGCCCACTCTTGAAAAAGATACAGGTTGAAGTATTTGGTTTACTTTTTATTTTAATGCAGAAGGAAATTCTGAGGCTTGTAAGGTTCAAGGGAGGGATAGTAGAGGAGAAGAACTTGAAGACAGGAAATGGGGACATTTGATGTAGAAAAATTAAGCCTGGAGCAGCAGAAGGAAATGGCTTTTCTCCAAAAGCGTTGGAGAGAGAAGTTGAAGATGAGAAAGAATATTAGATGTTGCATATTGTGGGCTGGATTTTGTGAAGTGGAAATTGATCATTTGAAGACACGCTTGTCTTCAGGGCAATAGCAATGTGATGGGAACTGGAGAGACAGAACAAAGAGTGCAGCAGAGGCTTGGAGTGATTAATACAGAGACTGGAGAGGACAGGACTTCCCTGTGACAAGGACGACCCCATGGATACTCCCAACCACTGGGATATAATGGGACCACCAGCTAAAAGTGGAGAAGCTGGACTATAAAAGGACGTCTCACTGGGACTTCCAGGGCAATCACTTGGAAACTCTGGACGTTTCTAAAAGAATGTCCAGGTAAATCACCTTGCATTCTCAGCATGACCGGAAAGAAAGTTTGGCCAAAGGTAGCTTTAAGAGTGGGCTGGGCTGAACTGGGCTGAATGCTTCAGGGAAAGCACGCATATTAAGAGAGGAAGGTTCACTGGAGAGAGACGGTGGGAACATTATAGGAATAGAATGGATGAAGAATAAGATGCTGAGTGTGACGGAGGTAAGGTATCTAGAGAACAATGGCCAAAGTCCTAGGATTGTGAGCTGCTGGATGGAGTGGGGTGAGAATTCAGAGAAGTGTCAGCTCCAGGGATGCTGGGATTTCCCAGGACAATGACAGAGCCTGGTCTTGCCCGGAGGATAAACAAAGAAGTTGTTCACAAATGCTCAGAAATGGCGTATCTGGTAGAAAAGTGTTTACAGCCCAAGATTTAAAAAACTGAGCTTAGACAGACAGTTAAGAATTGTGTAAATCCCTAGATCCTCATATGTTTTCTATTACATTTCTGTATGTGTCTGCTGCCATGGACTTCAGATTTACTATGTGCAACTTCTCTTTCTTTTCTTATCCTTTGAGACAGGGTCTCATTATGAAGTGTAGGATAACTTTAAACTTGTTATTTCCTGCCTCGGCCTCTAGAAGTAAACTAATGTACAGAGTGGAAGTACTGGAAAAATTGGGTCATGATTAGTGTGTGTGTGTAAGTCATATATGGGTGTGTGAACATACACACGGTTGCTAGAGCACTGTTTTGGCTATTGTTTCTCAAGTGGTATCCACTTTGGGGTTTCCTGGGTTTTTCTGTTTGCTTTGAGACCCAGTCTCTTATTGGCCTGGAACTTTACCAGCAGGCTATGCTGGCAGTCCAGAAAACCCTGGGGATTTGCCTGGCTCTGGCTCTGAGTGATTTCTTTACATAGGTTCTTGGGGTTAAACTCATGTCTTTATGTTTGCATGGTGAGTATTTTGCCAACTGCGCCATTTCCCTAGTCACTAGTTGTGATTTTCTAGTCTCAAATTATAACTTATAATTATTATCAGTATTAATAAAACAGTGGTCCCAGACCAAGAACTCTTTGTGTGGTTTCATCAGATGTGGCTTATGTGGAAATAAAGAACATATGTGCTGGGCTCCATTATAATTTGTCAATATTAATACACGGTCTCTGGACAAGCATAGGTCCTCCAACTAGCCAGGAAACAGGACCCCTGCAAGACAGGTGTCAACAGAACATGTCCCTTTCATTTCATACCACTGGTCAGAAGATAGAAAAAGTGTCTCCGTTGAGTGAGCACCGTAGTCAACGGGTCTTCAAACAGCTTACAAACCGAGTTCCTCAAATGGCATTCCAGAAATTATTTCACAAAACAAAACATAACAAAGGGGGAAAAGTTATCCAAGAAATGTAAACAACAATTCCCATCCATTTTCTTGATGGATGGTGGAGTCCCTTTCCCAGCTGGCCATGGTCGCACAGACCGAACGTTTCCTCCACCGGAGATGAGTGGAGGTAAGGGAGGCTGGACTCAGAGTCCTCGGGCGAGGCAGACATGCTGTCAAGAGCAAATTGGTTCAGTGCTATGAGAAGCTGTAAATAAACACTCAAGTGGCTCCCCAAGAACAAACAACTTCCTTCTGCAACAAGGAAATAATTGTTAGTAAATACGTTTCTTTCTGCAGCTGCTACTCAGAATTTGACCTCAACAAGACTTTTTCATTTTCATAATTTCCCCCCAAACTCCTCACTCTGGTGTAGCTTAAATTTATGGATTAAAGGAACAATATGTAACCAGAATGTGCAATACAGTTGGGAAAGATGGTCTTTGAAGAAAGAAGTTGGGTGAAATGAAATTAGTGGCCCTGAGAATCCATAGTTAAGCCTTGTATCTCATCTTTTTCTTGTTTGTAGTGTCTTTGGAGCCCAGGTATTCCCAGTACACACGAAAGAACAGACTATACTCAGGGACTATAATTAAATCTAAGTGGAGGCAAGCCTAGAGGGCCAATGTACCCTGCAATTAAGACATACATGTTAAGGGTTTGTGGGCAGAGGGAAAACCCCGCTTTTTCCTTCCCGAGTTATTGCAGTCTAAATACAAGAATCAGTGTACCCCATTGATGGTGCTGAAGCTTCCTTAGCTTTTGGATGTGGTGTTTTTCCATTGTATATCTATGGGGTTGCGCAGATCGATGTGATATGTGCATGAAGGTGGAAGTCGGTGGACTTCCTTAGCTGTCATTCTTCAGGGTGAAGAAGATCAACAGTAAACACAGATGGTAACTACAGCATCATAACTGGAAAAGAAAACCAGAGCCAGGTGGGCTGTCTTGCTCAGACCTTCTAAAACCGTGGAGGGCTAGGATATTTTCTCAAAGGAGGGGGAGCGTGTAGTTGACACCTGACCATGATAGGGGTAAGTCACAGGTGTCGTGAGTGCTTCAGCTATGATATA